AATATTAGGAATAAGAGCTAGATTAATATCATATTGAAATTCTAAAGAGTAATGGAGTCATATTTTTTTTCTTTTGAGATTGTTAATTGAAAAAGAAGGAAATTATTGAAAAAGAATTGTAATAAATAAATAACTAAATTTTTAATTATACTTTTAATTTATTAAGAATATAAAAATAATGATTATTAAAAAGATTTAGTTAAAGGATATTGGGATTTTATAACTAATACAGACCATTTATAATATTTAGACAATATTTCGATATCAAAATAATTGCTATTTTTTAGAATATTAGTAACTTGGAAGTATTAACTATAATTTTAAGGAAATTTGAATAAAAATCCTTTTTAAATTAATAAATGGTAGTATTTGAGAATAAAGTATTATAAATTCTCTCATAAAATGTTTATTAGCGATTCAACTCGAGAGTTGCATTTTCAGAAATACATGAATACTATATATTTCAACAACTAAATTTATAAAATTCCAATTTATTTTTAGAACCCAAATAAACTTAATTGATTTAATGTTATAAACGTATAATTTAAAACAAAACCATAATTATAAAGATATTAATAAATTAAAATTTTTGATAATGACTAATGAAATATATCAAATCTTCAACATTATTATCGATTAAGTACAGTTGCTTTATTTTCAACTACACAAAATAATTCATTAATCCCATTTTTTTGAATTGTCTATCTCTTTAAGATTTTTTTAAAAATAGGGTATATTAAATCAAACAAATCTGTAAATATTGTTATAACTAAAACAGTGCTCATCAAACTAATAATGCTCCAACCAATCATAATTAAAGTTTATGGATCATTTTAATAAAAATTATTAATGAAATAAATACTACAAATAATAAATTAAATAATATGAGAGGATAGCTACTTCAAATTCTCTGTTGGCTATTTAATTATTTTGTTTCTATATAAAAAGTAACAATACTAAAATTCATTTAAAATACATAACAAAATTTGAATTAACCCTGATTAAAAAAAGAATATTAAAAATATCGCAAACAATAATCTTTAAATACATATGTATATAAATGCATTATCCTCTTTCCACAAATTTTATAATATTTTGATTATACCATTATTTTATTTTAATTATGATAATAATATTAAGATGCTTACAAATAATATTGAAATAGCTATTCCAACTCCACAATAGCCTTCATCATCTCTTTTTGAATATTTTATAGCAAGAAATATATTTATTCCAAATTCATAGATCATTGCTAAAAACAAACTTCTTATTTAAGGCTAATATTTTATTTTTCTTATTTTTATACATTTTTATTAGATTAACTTTACAATATATAACTATGCCCTATTTAGATGAATATAATGCAATTATGACAATTTTCTCATTATCTATTTAGAACTAAATTTCAATATCATTAATATAATTCCTAAAATGATATATGCTAAACTTAATTGTGAAATATTGTCTAAAAAATTAGCATTTCTATCATCAAATTCAAATATTGGTTCAGAATTGTAATATGTCACTATGCTTTTTAAATTAGAACTTGGATTAATGTTGAATTAATCATAAATATTAGTTAATTATATTATTTTGAAAGTTTAATAAAATTGGAAAAGATTAATTCCAATTCGTGAATTAAAATATTTCAAATAGTATAATTACTAAATAATATCTATTAAATTAGAAATAATTTATAATTATCCTGTTATAGAAGATAATGCTATAAATACTGCCATTATTTTTAATAATTATGTACTCATAGATATTAGGGATTAGCTGCGTTGTTATTAATTTTAATCTAGAACATTTGGAGATAATAATTTGATAGATGCAATCTCTTATTAAATAGAAAATTCATATTAATTTACTAAAATTTAATTATTGCTAAACTTAAGCTTTAAAACAGGATCTTAAACATACTCCAAAAATTCAACTTGTATTTAAATAATAACATGGTTTAATTGTTAAGTTATAGATTCAGAATTAAATGAAATTTTAGCTTTTTCATTCTACTCATCAATGTAAAATACTAAACTATCAAAATAATCTTATTTAGAATAATCTTCTGCTAATTTCATATCTTGTGTATAAATTAATTCTTCATATTAGATACCAAAAATTTCATATGAAAAAACAAGATTAACACTAGGAGATTTTAAAATTGTACATTCAGAATCTCTGCAATGACTATCTTATGATGGTATACAATTGATATCACATCCGTCTCCATTTATATCGTTTCCATCATCACATAACTCTTTTCCATTTTAGATGCCATCCCCACAATAAATAATACAACTATTATTTTATAAAGTAAATCCTGTTTGACATTACAAACATTAATCATCAATAAATATTTCACAATTCATAATATAATTGTTGGAATTATAATTTTCTTCACATTTATTATTTGTCAATTAATAATTCTCTTTACAAATTAAACAATTAAATGATTTTTCGCATAAAGCACATTTAGAATC